TGAACGTTCTGAAACAATTCTGTTGAAGGAATATGAAAATTTGCACAGAGGTTCCTTATGTAGCGTAATTGAATAATTAGAGTGATTTTTGGAATTCATTCCTTAAGGGGGTAAAACTAGGGGTGAAATTTTGTATAATTTTTTATGTAAAATCCGTTCTAGGATTAGGAGTATGAAATTCTGTTCAGAGGTCCCTTAAATGATGAAAGTGAGTACCTAGAAGCAAATTTTAGGCATGCATCCCCTAAAAAATAAGGGATGAAAATTTGTACAAAAATTTGTTAAAATCGGTTTTAGAAGTATGAATTTTGCAGACGTTCCTTATGTAACGTAATTTAGCACTAAGAAGCAATTTTTGGAAATTCGCCCTCTAAGGGTGTGAAATGAGGGGTGAACGTTATGAAACAATTCTCTTGAAGGAATATGAAAATTTGCACAGAGGTTCCGTATGTAGCGTAATTGAATAATTAGAGTGATTTTTGGAATTCATTCCTTAAGGGGGTAAAACTAGGGGTGAAAATTTGTATAATTTTTTATGTAAAATCCGTTCTAGGACTAGGAGTATGAAATTCTGTTCAGAGGTCCCTTAAATGATGAAAGTGAGTACCTAGACGAGAATTTTAGGCATGCATCCCCTAAAAAATAAGGGATGAAAATTTGTACAAAAATTTGTTAAAATCGGTTTTAGAAGTATGAATTTTGCAGACGTTCCTTATGTAACCTAATTTAGCACTAAGAAGCAATTTTTGGAAATTCGCCCTCTAAGGGTGTGAAATGAGGGGTTGAACGTTCTGGAACAATAAATTCTGCTTAAGGAATGTGAGAATTTGCACAGAGGTTTATTATGTAGCGTAATTGAATAATTAGAGCGATTTTTGGAATTCATTCCTTAAGGGGATAAAACTAAGGGTAAAAATTTGTATAATTTTTATAAAATCCGTTCTAGGACTAGGAATATGCAATTTTGTACAGAGGTCCCTTAAGTGATGAAAGTGAGTACCCAGAAGAAAATTTTGGACATGCACCCCCTAAAAAATAAGCACTCCCTATAAAACAATTAAAATAAAAAAAAATTACTAGAAAATAAAAAAAAAGTTGGGGTGGACCACTCTTATCACTTAGGGGTATAAAAAATAGATAACCTGAGAATAGGTTGTGACCAAACCAAACCAGACCTACTGAATATACATATAAAATTTTATCAAAATCGGTCTAGCCGTTTCGGAGATGGTAACAAAAAATTAAAAAAAAACAACCCCTATTAAAAAATAGGGGATGATGATGGAACGGTGAAAATTTAGGGTTATTTGTATTTTTTAATGCCAACTAAAAAATAAAAACATTTTTTCTTTTTCAAAAATAAAAATGAGGGTGGGCTACCCTCTCGGCTACCCTAACCACATAAGGGTATAAAAATAGATAACAACCTATTCTTAGACGTACTGAATATACATATAAAATTTCATCAAAATCGGTCAAGCCGTTTCGGAGATGGTAACAAAAAACTTAAAAAAGCAACCCCTATTAAAAAATAGGGAATGATGGTAGAACGGTGAAAATTTAGAGTTGTTTGTATTTTTAAGGCCAAATAAATAAAATATCTTTTTTTTCAAAAATAAAAAAATGAGGGTGGGCTACCCCCTCGGCTACCCTTATCACTTAAGGGTATAAGAATAGATAACAACCTATTCTTAGACGTACTGAATATACATATAAAATTTTATCAAAATCGGTCAAGCCGTTTCGGAGATGGTAACAAAAAACTTAAAAAACAACCCCTACTAAAAATAGGGGATGATGGTAGAGCGGTGAAAATTTCGAGTTGTTTGTATTTTTTAATGCCAAATAAAAAAAATAAAATTTTTTTTTTCAAAAAATAAAAAAAAATGGGGGTGAGCTACCCTTATCACTTAAGGGTATAAAAAATAGATAACAAACTATTTTCAGACCTACTCTATATACATAAAACGTCATCAAAATCGGCTAAGCCGTTTCGGAGATGGTAACAAGAAAACAACCCCTATTGGAAAATAGGGGATGATGGTAGAACGGTGAAAATTTAGAGTTGTTTGTATTTTTTAAGGCCAAATAAAAAATATTTTTTTTCAAAAATAAAAAATGGGGGTGGGCTACCCTCTCGGCTACCCTTATCACTTAAGGGTATAAGAATATATAACAACCTATTCTTAGACGTACTGAAAATACATATAAAATTTTATCAAAATCGGTTAAGCCGTTTCGGAGATGGTAACAAAAACTTAAAAACAACCCCTATTAAAAAATAGGGATGATGGTAGAACGGTGAAAATTTAGGGTTGTTTGTATTTTTAATGCCAAATAAAAAAAAATTAAAATATTTTTTTTTTTCAAAAATAAAAAAAATGGGGTGGGCTACCCTTATCACTTAAGGGTATAAAAACAGATAACAACGTATTCTCAGACCTACTGAATATACATATAAAAATTTCATCAAAATCGATCAAGCCGTTTCGGACATGGTAACAAAACATTAAAAAATCCCTATTAAAAAATAGGGGATGATGGTAGAACGGTGAAAATTTAGGGTTGTTTGTATTTTTAATGCCAAATAAAAAAATTTAAATATTTTTTTTCAAAAATAAAAAATGGGGGTGGGCTACCCTTATCACTTAAGGGTATAAAAATATATAACAACCTATTTTCAGACCTACTCAATATACATATAAAATTTCATCAAAATCGGCCAAGCCGTTTCGGAGATGGCAACAAAAAAAATATAAAAACAACCCCTATTAAAAATAGGGGATGATAGCAGAACGATGAAAATTTAGGGTTGTTTGTATTTCTTAATGCCAAATAAAAAAATAAAAACATTTTTTTTCTTTTCAAAAACTAAAAAAAATGAGGGTGGGCTACCCTCTCGGCTACCCTTATCAGTTAAGGGTATAAAAATAGATAACAACCTATTCTTAGACGTACTGAATATACATATAAAATTTTATCAAAATCGGTTAAGCCGTTTCGGAGATAGTAACAAAAAATTAAAAAAACAACCCCTATTAAAAAATAGGGGATGAAGGTAGTACGGTGAAAATTTAGTGTTGTTTGTATTTTTTAATGCCAAATAAAAAAAATAAAATTTTTTTTTCAAAAAATAAAAAAAAATGGGGGTGAGCTACCCTTATCACTTAAGGGTATAAAAAATAGATAACAAACTATTTTCAGACCTACTCTATATACATAAAACGTCATCAAAATCGGCTAAGCCGTTTCGGAGATGGTAACAAGAAAACAACCCCTATTGGAAAATAGGGGATGATGGTAGAACGGTGAAAATTTAGAGTTGTTTGTATTTTTTAAGGCCAAATAAAAAAATATTTTTTTTTTCCAAAAATAAAAAAATGGGGGTGGGCTACCCTCTCGGCTACCCTTATCACTTAAGGGTATAAGAATATATAACAACCTATTCTTAGACGTACTGAAAATACATATAAAATTTTATCAAAATCGGTTAAGCCGTTTCGGAGATGGTAACAAAAAACTTAAAAAACAACCCCTATTAAAAAATAGGGGATGATGGTAGAACGGTGAAAATTTAGGGTTGTTTGTATTTTTAATGCCAAATAAAAAAAAATTAAAATATTTTTTTTCAAAAATAAAAAAATGAGGGTGGGCTACCCTTATCACTTAAGGGTATAAAAACAGATAACAACGTATTCTCAGACCTACTGAATATACATATAAAATTTCATCAAAATCGATCAAGCCGTTTCGGACATGGTAACAAAACATTAAAAAAAACATCCCCTATTAAAAAATAGGGGATGATGGTAGAACGGTGAAAATTTAGGGTTGTTTGTATTTTTTAATGCCAAATAAAAAAAATTTAAATATTTTTTTTTTCAAAAAATAAAAAAATGGGGGTGGGCTACCCTTATCACTTAAGGGTATAAAAATATATAACAACCTATTTTCAGACCTACTCAATATACATATAAAATTTCATCAAAATCGGCCAAGCCGTTTCGGAGATGGCAACAAAAAAATATAAAAACAACCCCTATTAAAAATAGGGGATGATAGCAGAACGGTGAAAATTTAGGGTTGTTTGTATTTCTTAATGCCAAATAAAAAAATAAAAACATTTTTTTCTTTTCAAAAACTAAAAAAAAATGAGGGTGGGCTACCCTCTCGGCTACCCTTATCAGTTAAGGGTATAAAAATAGATAACAACCTATTCTTAGATGTACTGAATATACATATAAAATTTTATCAAAATCGGTCAAGCCGTTTCGGAGATGGTAACAAAAAATTAAAAAAACAACCCCTATTAAAAAATAGGGGATGAAGGTAGAACGGTGAAAATTTAGGGTCGTTTGTATTTTTTAATGCCAAATAAAAAAAAAATTTTTTTTTACAAAATAAAAAAATTGGGGTGGACTACCCTTATCACTTAAGGGTATAAAAAATATATAACTACCTATTCTCAGACCTACTGAATATACATATAAAATTTCATCAAAATCGGTCAAGCCGTTTCGGAGGAGTACAGTAACCAAAACCACCCAAAACTGTAACACGGGAATTATATAGATAATATTATATGAAAACTGCGGAGTGCGGAGAGCGGAGAGCGGAAAGACTGATTATAGCAATAGATGAAATTTAAAACTATAATTTAAAACTATTCAAGAAAGTACACACAAAACAAGGCAACGCCGCGCGTCTATTCGTTCAATTCCGAGCAAAATAGCGAGTTGGGGCCTCGCTCGCCAAAGCGAGGCCCCATCGACAGGTCAGATTTTGATGCGAGACGAGACTTCTAGGGTATTAAGATATTCTTTGGTATAAAAATAGATAACAACCTATTCTTAAACGTACTGAATATACATATAAAATTTTATCAAAATCGGTCAAGCCAAAGTCATTGCAATCACAGTTTCAATTGCGATTGAAAAATCGCAGTTTTGCTCATCTCTATAAGAAAGTGTATAACACAAAGTAATATTTTCAATATATAGAATGCTGGCGAGGAATCCGTAGCTAATCTTGATTGGTGCAGATATGCTGCCGGTTCGATACCAACTGCAGATCTCAGACTGCAAATGCAAAAAACTATGCAAAGTCATGCCGCCGTGTTTAGAACCGAGGACGTCCTACGAGAAGGTATCGATAAAATGAAGAAGCTCTATGAATCATTGCAAAATTTGAAGGTTTCAGACCACAGGTAAAGCTAGTTATATCTTGTTTATTATTAAAGATTGATATACAGTATGTCCCCGGATTGCTTTTCCAAGAGGAAAAACTTTCTTATTATTGACATTTTGAGAAAAATGCATTTTTTATAAAATGTTTTGCTTGTTCTAAAATGGTTAATTATTTTTATACTTTCCCGAATTTCCACACCGTTTTAGAGAAAATTAAAAAAACATAAAAATCTGGTTGAATTTTTCCTAGTTCTAAAAAAATCCTTTGACATCCTAAAAATCAAAAGGCGTTCTATGATAATGTAAATTCAGTTTCATTCTTTTCCGTATTACACTATCAAATTTCTTTGCCAAAGATCTTTTATAAAAGATATTTGATGAAAAATTTGACATTGTTAATATACAATATTTCATAAAATCACACATATTACACTGTCAAATTCTTTGATAAAATAAAATCTTTGACAAAGAAATCTGATAGTGTAATACTAGCCTTTGATAGATGGTTATTATTCATTTTGATTCACGTCATATTCTATGCTGTTGTTAAAGTATCATATTTTCCGATAACTATCTTCACCCATTCCGTAGCATTGAACTAAATAAATTTTGTGCTTCTTTAACGTTTTAAAACAACAAAAAATATTACGTTAATTAAAATTCTATGCATAAGAATCTATTGAAGAATGAAAACCTTTGAATAAGAAGACTAAGGAAGGAGCATATCAAAAATTTTAGGTACACCGCGATGGGCCTCAAATATGGCCGATTTAAATTCCGGTTTATGTGTCGTTCTAATTTTATTCATTCACATCACATTTATAAAAAATGTAAAACTATGATGTAGGGTAGACGTGGGGTAGACTCAATAATTTGTTGTTTTATTTTACGTTGTGAATAAATGTTGGTAGTTATTAAAATTGTTATAAAAATATATAATTCTAATAAAAATAGATAAGTTATAATAAGTATTTATTAACACAAACATCCGATACGCTACTGAAGCAGGTAAGTCAAATTAACGTATCTAAATTCTTTGACATCTAATCTTTGACAAGTAATAAATAAAAGCTAAAATGCAAGAAAAATATATAATTTAGTTAATTTAAGTGTATTTCATAAATGATCGGTTTACTACACGTATGTATATTATATAGTCACTTACTAGCGAAAAGTTGTTCCATTATTTCACTCAATTTTTGCAGAGATCTACCGTACGCTACACAACCAACTATTTTAGAGTCTTTTTCGATAAATCGCGATAGTGTCACTGTTAATTTAAGTTCTGCCACAATTTCCATCTAGATTTACTACCTTTATACAACTATCAGTAGTAGAATAAATAATAAATAACATAAAATCAGCTCCGTAAAGACTGACAAATCCACAAAATTTCAAATCAAATTCAAATGTGTCAAATGAATCGTCAAACAGAACTGTCAAGGATCCCCACCCTAGAGAGCTTTTATGGTGCCTTTTCCGCCCACCATGCATGAATACATGGATAGCATTATGCTCCTTCCTTAGTCTTCTTATTCAAAGATGAAAACGAAGTTTTATTACCATAGAAACGTGTTTCGATTTTTAGGACTTAAGCTTCATTCAGAACCTCCCAATTAGTGGAATAAATTAGTGGTTTCAATTACACTTTATAGTGTATAGCTTACGATCATTCACAATGTCTCAAAATCACAATTAAAATTAATAAAATATCCTAGCAACAGCTTGCAGTAGTCTGTTGTATCCATATAGAAAGCATAATGTTTAGCTTATAAAACAATAAACTTTTGATTTCTAACCAAAATTTTTCTTCAAATCAAAAGCCGAAATGACATTTCTCGCAAATCTTGAAGTATAATTAGTGGAAAAGTCAAAAGTTTGTTAACTTTTTCCACTAATTGAGAAATATTACCACTAATTATGACGTTCTGAATGCTTACATTAAAATTAGGTGAACAAACTTCTACGCTATTTGAAACTACTAATTTATTCCACTGATTTCGAGGTTCTGAATGAAGCTTTAAGCTTGATTTTCATGCATCCGTTATACGTTGATACGATGCGATGGTCCGACGGTGCTTTGATTGGTCATAGTGTTTTCGCGCCACTTTTCATCCGTAAATATTTTACTTCAGCCCGTCAACGGACACGTTCATACGATAACGGACGTTTTGACACTTTTTTGACAAATTTAATCTAACCTTAATAAAAATATAAGTAAAATACTTTAAAATAGCAAAATCGTTATGGAAACGAAAATATAAAATGACACCAACGTATATCCGATAAACGGACGCATGAAAATGCAATAAATTTAAAAACTGTTATTTTCTAACCAATCAAAGTCATTAAATTCTACCGATAAAATTAATATCGTATCAATGTATCGTCGGACAACTGATGCATGAAAATCAAGGTTTAAGCTTCATTCAGAACCTCAAAATTATTGGAATAAATCAATGGTTTCAATTAGCGTAGAAGTTTCTTCCTCTAATATCAATGTAAGCATATTCACAATGTCAAGATTAGTGGTAGTAATCTTCAGTTAGTGGAAAAAGTTAAATAACACAGTTAAATAACAAAGTTAACACAGGTTTTAACTTTTTCACTAATTATACTTCAAAAGTTGCGAGGAATGTCATTTTGGCCTTTGATTATCATCCGTCAAGAGAAATTTTGGTTAGTAATTAGAAAAAAGTTTATTGTTTTATACCTTTGAATAAAAATATTAAGGAAGGAGTATAATGTTATCCAAGTATTCATGCATGGTGGGCGGAAACAGGACTCTAGGGTGAGGATCCTTGACAGTTCTGTTTGACGATTCATTTGACACATTTCAATTTGATTTGAAATTTTGTGGATTTGTCAGTCTTTACTGAGCTTATTTTATGTTATTTATTATTTATTCTACTAAGGGGCCATCCATAAATTACGTCACACGAATTTTAGGACTTTTGAACCCCTCCTCCCGTCCTTGTCACAGGTTGTCACATTTTTAGAACCCCCTCTCCCTGATGTGACGTCACACATTTCTCAAATTTATGCATGTATTAATGTTAAAATCAAATTTTAACCTGTTCCGTCACAAAACTTTTGACCTCCCCTGTCCCTTGTCACACTATGTGATAATAATAATAATAATAAATAAAGGACTTTATTTGTACAACTGTGCCATATACAATAATAGAAGAAAGAGAAAAAAAGTAGTGTACAAAAGGGCGAGGTTCAGTTGAGCAGATTAGATATCTGCCCTCTGTTCAACTAACCCACAGAGAAGAAAATATTTGTTAACAATAATAAAAATTAATGAAACTAAATCTTAAGTAAATCTACAAATATGTAACCTTAAAATTGCATAAACAGTATAAAAATAAATTTATTTTTTGTTTCGTTTCTTTGACCTGTATACTATATATTTTTTGTTTTCACTCTTGGCTTTAGGTCGTTGGGGTTGCAAAGATGTTTCTAGATTTTGTTCATTATTTTTTTATTTTATGACGACGTTTCGACAGTATATGTCTTTTTCAAGCCTCTTGAACGTAGATTCTTACAGAGTTAAAATTTGTTAAAACTGGACAACACAATAACACATATTAACTATTGTTTTAATTGTTTTTGGATATTACACTTTACTATAGAGCACGTACGTATTTCCTTGCGGATCGCTCTGTATAAAACACATTTATCATTTCAATACCCGATGTCTACTGGTAGACATCGGTCATTTCAATACCGTCTACTGGTAGACACCGTGTCTACTGGTAGACATTTCAATACCCGATGTCTACTGGTAGACATGTCTCAGTAGACATCGGGTATTGAAATGATAAATGTGTTTTATACAGAGCGATCCGCAAGGAAATACGTACGTGCTCTATAGTAAAGTGTAATGTCCAAAAACAATTAAAACAATAGTTAATATGTGTTATTGTGTTGTCCAGTTTTAACAAATTTTAACTCTGTAAGAATCTACGTTCAAGAGGCTTGAAAAAGACATATACTGTCGAAACGTCGTCATAAAATAAAAAAATAATGAACAAAATCTAGAAACATCTTTGCAACCCCAACGACCTAAAGCCAAGAGTGAAAACAAAAAATAAATTTATTTACGGCATGAAATATAATAAAATTTATATAGAAGAGAAATGTATTAACAAAAATACAAAATAATACAAGCAAACTTAACATTGAACATGCTCATTATAATTATAATCCATTTATTTATGCTGTCCCACCATGTGCTGAAGAACAATTCTCTTAAATGTAGCCCTAGACATCCTGTTAATATTTTCGGAGAAGTCGTTTAAATATTTTGCGATTAAATATGAAAAGGATCGTTCATACAAAGTAGTATTGTGACTAGGAATTGTTAGATTTCCCTTAAATCTAATGTTAATATTATGAATGTCTGTGCGAAACCGAATTTTCTCGTAAAGATATGGTGGTGACTTGTTTATTAAAATTTTGTGAAACAGACAAAGCAGATGAAGGTGGCGCTGCTCGTTCATCAATAACCATCCTGAATGCTTATATGCTTGACTAATATGGTCATATTTCCGGATCCCAAAAATTAGACGTATACAAGAATTCTGCAATTTTTGAATGCTATTAGCAATTCGCTTTGTAATGCAAGGTCCATAGAGAACATCGCAAAAATTTAAATGTCACAATACCAGTGCCTCGCATAACATTGTTTTTATATTTCTATTTAATACATGACGATGTTGAAAGAGAAGTTTCAAATTTAAATAAGTTTTCTAAAGGCATGCATTTATATGCTCTTGAAATCTGAGATTTTGATCCATGATAACTCCTAAATTTTTTGCGCTCGTTTTTATCAGTAAAGGTGAATTATTTATTTCAATTGAGTTCGAAAAGGAATCCAAAAACTTTTGTCTGTCACCACCCTTACCAAAAACTAATACTACAGACTTCTTAGGGTTTAAAAAAAGACCATGATTTATTGCCGTGAGAGAAAATTGATTCAAATCATAATTTAATGCCGCGATAGCTTGAATACTTTCTTCAGGAGGAAATGACAAGTAAATTTGTGTATCGTCAGCGTAAAGGTGATATTTGCTAGACAGTAATGTATTCGGAAAATGAGAAGTATAACTACTAAATAACAGAGGGCCCAAAATCGAGCCTTGTGGAACACCGCTAGTGACTGCTTTGAAGGCAGACTGTTCACCGCCATAAGATACTGCTTGACTTCTGTCTTTTAAAAACTCCTTGAGTAAGTGAACAGCCTGTTCTGAAAGTCCAACACTCTGCAAAATTGAAACAAGGATTTTATGGCTAAGAGTGTCAAAGGCCTTACTAAAGTCCAACAAAACTAATACGGTTAATTTGCCCTCATCCCATGCCTCTAATATCTCATCCGTAATGCTGAGCAATGCCGTATTGCAGCCATGATCCTTTTTAAAACCCGATTGTTTTGCTGGAATTACACACTTTTGCGTCGAGTATGCAGTTAACTGGTTATGTAATATTATTTCTAATATCTTCGAAAAAGTGGGCAATACACTTATTGGTCGTAATTGATTTAAAGAGTCGACTAATACGGTGATACCCCCCCCCCCCTCCCGTCAACGTGTGACGTAATTTATGGATGACCCCTAATGATAGTTGTGTAAAGGTAGTAAATCTAGATGGAAAATTAACAGTGACACAATTGCGATTTATCGATAAAGACTCTAAAATAGTTGGTGGTGTAGCGTGCGGTAGATCTCGGCCAAAAATCGAGTGAAATAATGGAATAACTTTTCGCTACTAAGTGACTATATGATATACATATATATTACGTGTAGTAAACCGATCATTTATGAAATTCACTTAAATTAACTAATTACATATTTTTTCTTGTATTTTTGCTTTTATTTAGTACTTGTCAAAGATTAGATGTCAAAGAATACGTCAATTTCACTTACAGATGCTACGTCTACCCTACATCATAGTTTTAGACTTTTTTAAATAAAATTAGAACGGCACTGATAAACCGGAATTTAAGTCAGTCATATTTGAGTCCCATCGCGGTGGATCTAAGATTCTTGATATGCTCCTTCCTTAATCTTTTTATTCAAAGTTTTATACGCTAAATATTAGGCTTTCTCTATGGATATAACTGTGTTCTTTAGGCATTGTGAATGATCGCAAACTAAAAAGTATAAAGTGTAATTGAAACCACTAATTTATACCACTCATTACGAGGTACGGAATGAAGCTTTAGGAAAAAATTCAACCATATTTTTTTTCATTAAGTTCATATTTCTTCAAGTGCTTCTTAATTTTTTCTAAAACGGTATGGAAATTTCCCATATAAAGATAATATAATCCTCCTTGTAAAGATAATCCGGGGATATAATGTATGTAGTATTTTACCAATATGTTTATTTTGTATTATTATTTATAATTAGTATTTCATTATTTAAACGAGTCTATTATTTTAAATAGAATATAATTAATTGCAGTCTGATTTGGAACTCGGATTTAGTTGAAACCCTTGAATTACAAAATTTAATGCTGAACGCTATGATGACCATCGTTGGAGCCGAAAATCGCAAGGAATCCCGGGGAGCCCATGCAAGAGAGGATTACAAAAATCGTTGTGACGAATATGATTACAGTAAACCTATAAAAGGTAAATTTCTAGAACTGTTGAAAGTTGAAATTACTATTTATTATTATTCGGAGATTATACTGTAGAAATACAATAGCATCAAGATCATAAATTTGCTGTTAGTTATTTCAATGCTTGTCTATTTCTCTGAAAATGTATATACGGAATAATGTAAAATATGGAATGGTCCTTTGTAATTTTGTATGAACTATGAAGTTCATATGATTGCCTGAAGACGAAACCAGACTTGTCTTATGTCAAGCAATGAACTGGTTATTTTATAGGCTTGGTGCATTCTCTGGAGTATGTGCTGCCACTACCGGAGAATATCGTAAACAACGGGCATATGCCGTGTATTTGTATATACAAATACAACGTTGGTTGTGAAATACGCTGACATAGTACATGTCTATTTAATTTTTTGATTATGTAATGGGCACTTTGTTTACTAACTTGTTTTGTCGAGCTGCTTGAATTCATTTTTGCTTTTGATCAAATCGGTGTGAGAACTTGTGAAGCTATAAAATGTTGTTTCGGAAGAGTTGAATATCCGGGAAAGTTGAATGATTGAATGTTATTACACCTTGAATGATTGAATGTAATTACGCTCTCCTTTACGTGTTAACATATTTTCAACACTTTATTAACATTTAAAATTATCTCAACATAAAGCGACGCGACGCCCAGTTCGAGTTCTTTTTCACATAATTTTTACTACCCGAAACAGCGTTACATCACACATCTCGTACCTGAGTGTTTTGTCGTTTCAATAACTGCACTATTAAAAACTAAAACACTTAAATATTGTGACAAAGCCACGATTTTAATATTATTTCAATACTATAAACATCGAAACTGCGTGAAATACAGAGCGAAAACTTCTAATTTCTGCCGTATCGAGCGCTGCGGTCGGTCTTTTAAAAATCAACAGAAATGCACCAAGCCTATAACTAATCTTAAATTATTTTGTAAGAAATAGACTAACAATAACAAAAATAGAAATAAAAATATTTTTCAATGGTGTATCGGTAACAGTAACTTTTTACTATGGTTAAATAATGATCATGTTGTCAGTTGTCCATAACTGAATTAGTAGACTATTAGATATGGGGTGAGTCTAGGTCTGTTTATACCTAAGGTGTATACTGTCACACTGTCAGATCAAGATTGAAATGTATAGTACAGTTCTTTTAAAAGTTCCTCAATATGGCCGACCTAGTTACGAAAATTGGTAATTTTTTTTAACGAAAAATAAGTTGGCGTTAGCGTATTCAGAATTTATTTACTCTTTTGTTAACAACATTCGGATTGTCAAGTTGACGTTAAAGTTAGGTTATTAGGTGGTTATCTAAAATAAAAACATAGTTTATTGAAATTATTTAAATAAGAATAAAGGTATTTTACCGCAGATTGGAAGATATTTACTTAAAGGTATTTTATAAACTTTCTCAGTGAGAATATTAACTCCCCTGTTTCTTATATCTCAGTTAAACAGACGCGACGTAAGAACTATAGGAAGTGAATTTTTGTTTTCATGTTTTGACAATATTCGAGAGTTCCTAGAATTATCAAGATTATTGAATAATTATAGTTGTTTAATAAGTGAAATTAATAGAAGACTTGGAGATAGGATGATGGGTTTCATGTTATAGTTGATAGATCACCCCATTTCTCTTAAATCACAAATTGAATTGATATGTGTGCAAAAACAGCTATAAATTTTTCAAATCTTATTTAGAAAGATCTTTTATATATTGTTAAACTGTATCATCTACAAAGTCTTTAGCAAAAAGTTATAAGATAATAAATTTTGTAGATATAAATTTAGAAAATTTATATATAAAGATTAGAACACAATCCTCTGAGGAAAAAATGAAATATTCAAAAACTCATTAAATACACTTTATTAAAAATAACAACATACAAAAATAGTCATTCATGCAAACTGTAATAATCAGAACATTATCCACATTATACCATTATTAAATTTGTGTTCACACTTCTGTCAGGAAAGCCAGAAATGTTTGTTTAAATATTAACATATTTTAAATTGCCAGAAACTCATCAGAATATGTCACAACCACAACTATAGGTTTGGAAACAGTACTAAATTTTATACCTAGTAACTGATGCGTCAACTAACAAGTATAGGATAAAAGAGAATTATTAATATAGAGTGTACTATACGATCTCCTTTTGCTTATTTATGAAGTGACTTTCTTTTCAAATGTGAGGAATACCGGTAAAATAAAACATAATGTTTGGTTTGGTTTGGTGTTTGATATTCTAACTACATCTATTACAAACCTTAAGTGCTTTTAGTGAGTAACTGTATTTCCTATTATTCTTTGTGTATCCTGTAAAGTAAAAAAATATATGTTTCAAAAAATACAAAAACAATGCAATAGATATCAAAGAGATTCATAAAAACTACTTACACTTATTGTACATATTATATATTTCAAGTGTTATTAGATCTTTGGTCCTATACCAACATTACCTTCTTTATATTTTAAAACTGATTTACAACAATCTTTAATGCCCGCGCTGTTTCCTGAAATATAAGTTTTAATCTATTTATTATCTTATACATATTAGGTACAAACCTGAAAATTACTGATTCGAAGAAACTTTTCAAAATAATTAGAGACTTTTTTTACAAACATCTGGACTAATTTATTTTCACGAATTTGTGGACGAGTCAATGTTTTCTAATACATTTTTAAGCTTTTTACACATTTTGAATATCTTCCAGGCTATTCCTCAGTTCTTGATTAGTGAAAAGATTATTGATAACTATATAATTAGTACTGCTTAAATAAAAGAACAAAATCAAGTAGAATCTGTGAATAGAAACTCAAAAAATACTGAAAATATTTAGAAAAAAGGGCCGTTAGCGTCACTGTCAGCCAAGTCTCAGAGTTCAATTAGATTTACCACAGATTATCAATTTCAACGATTTGAACTACAGTCGATTCCAGTCTAGATATTTTCGTTTTTTAAGCCTCCCATACTGAAGTCCGCCATATTGGGAAGTTTTAAATGAATACAAGTATATATGCCCATCAGCAAGATTACTTAATGTATTATTTTTTTTTAAATTTTTTAGGCCAACAAAAGAAGGACATTAAAGACCACTGGAGAAAGCACACTTTGGCCGACATCGATCCGAAAACTGGTAAAGTCAGTATCAGATACAGAGGCGTCATCGACGATACTTTAGATTCTCAAGAATGTAAAACAGTACCGCCTGCGATCAGATCGTATTAAGATTAAGTTTCGTTATCATTAAATTTATTTCAAAAATAAATTCTGGCGTACTTATAATTTTTAATAACACATCACTTGTGTTACGATCGAAAAAAACAAATATTTAGTTTACTATCGGACACAGCAATACGTATACCAGTTATCAAACAAAAAAATATATATTTCTGGTCATATAGAGTACTTACTATTTTTGTTCAAAATCAACGTTCAATTTTCAATTCAATTATTTATTTTGAAGTATTTTCAGTCGTGCCTTGTGGAGCAAGGCATTTTATATATATTTTTGTTCATTTAAAAAAGTATTGGTTTAGATCTATAGGTATTTATTATTTAAAATTTAAGATAATTAAAGCAAGCAAGTACCGTTGAGGCTGATGAAACTATTATGTGAATATTTCTGTAAAAATGATATTTAATAAATAAAGAAGGAAAAAGGAACAGTATCGTATTTTTCAATATAAAAAGTTTTGCAGGTATTATATACAGGGTGATATTTATTAAGAATGGCTGATCAGCTGTTTAAACTAACTGACTAAATATCATACAGGAAGGTAAAAAAATATATGTTAATTTCCGCTTATTTTATATTAATTATATAATTACATCAAATATTCATTATTTTAAATTTAACCTTATTGACATCCGTTCTCTTGGTCTTTGTGATAACATCGTGCCTAGAGGCCTTATGCAGCCGGATGCTACCAGCGTGGGAGGATGAAAAACTCGATTTTGATGAAGACGAAATATTTTTGGAAAAAATAATAGTATTACGGTCCACGGTTGATAGCCTTTGTAGCTAAAACTCTTGAGCTTGAGAAAGTTGAAGTTGAAATTAAACCTTGTGTATATTATTTAAATGTTATATTTGATTTTCCATTTAAACGAGCGACGAATAATCATTTTTAAACATTATATAGAATATTAACATCATCAGGCGCCAATATTCGTTAATGCGAATATTAATTTGTTGTAAAAAGTGTAGATATGGTGTAGATGTCATATTTAAAAATCAAACAACGGAGCTTTTAAGTGTTAATTGTTTTCTAACAGTTTGATTATCGTGGAATATCTAGTTTGTTATTTTTAGTTTATACCCGGTGATTTTTAACCTATACGCATACAGTTGGGAAATTATTGCTGATTACTAATAATGAAAAAAAAAGTTAGTTAAATATTTTTATTTACGGAGATAACAAACCATTTGAAATAAAAACGAAAAACGTAAATTCCATTAAATTGAATGTGCACTAAATATTTTTACTTACGGAGATAACAAACTACATATTTGAAATAAAAACAAAAAACGTAAATTCCCTTAATTCGAATGTGCATTACTGATAAAGTTGATACATTTTTGTGAAAAAAAAAACTCAAATTATTTCAGAATCTAAAAATATTTTACTAAACCAAACCAAACCAAACATTTTTTTTCAATATTAGTCATTATTTGTCATCAGCAATAATTTCTCAAGTTTATGTGAAAATCACCCTGTATATAATGGAACGAGGGTGCCCGCATGTTACAATTTCAAATAAACCATATGCGAAAATGTCAAAAGTTGACATATGATATGTCATTCTATTCGGAATTCGGAGTGTTATTTTCTATCGAATAAATTAAAAAAATACCGAGGGTGTCGTTTAAAAATCAAAAGTTGTAGTCATTTCCGGTGAAACCGGAAGTGACCGAATACAACTGAATATTTCAATTAATCCTAATTTATGTCATATACTAACATACCAAAACTCGTTGTTTTATTGCGAATATTACAGTACGTCTGCTGGATCTGTGTCTATGAAAGGAATGCGGACAAAAAACATTTAAATAAACAGCAATATATTTTATACGCCGACTTGACGAGTACGTCACCGCAAATCGCTCCGCCCACTCATTTTATTGGCTACTTGCAAATTTGTCGAATTTTTATTAATGGGACGCGTCGTCTAATTTTTTACGAAAAACATCGGGATACCCCGTATCTACAGAACGGACAGACGTACTGTACATTACTATTCCAAACCTTTGGATCTTTTCTATAGAGTCATTAGAAAATATGTTTCCAATACTATTTCTAACACTTTCTTTGTCAATTTTAATATTTTAGTGAAAGTGCGGTAATAATAAATGTCAATCCACTCTTTGTGTCATCGTCGTCCATCATGTTTGAATTTTCATTGGAGTACATCAATATTTTACATGTACAGCCCATATTACTGATTTAGAATGATCTGGTCTGTATACTTCACGGAAGGTTGCTTTACTTTGATATATTTCTCAGATAAATTGTGGCTGTAAAACTAGTTGTCAAAGCAATCAAAATTATATTTGGAAAAAAAAATTAACTTGATACAATAAGTTAAAATGGAAAAAATCTATATTTTTAATTATTTGGATATTTTATATTTAACTTATGCTTTTGAAACTGATAAAATAAGTTGAATAGGGATAGTTATAACAGGTAACTATAACGTTCAAAATAGATTAAATACAAACGAAGAAATCTCGTGTTATCTACTATACAGATAGGAAAAATTAAAACAACTTTATACGGTTACGGTATGATCGAAAAAAACGGCTTCCAGTTGGCTGGGAAATGACAATCGATGACATTTCCCATATAAATTAATTGATTGCGATCTTCATTTCATAGCCATCGCTGACGCCGTTTTTACTCGATCATACGGTAGTTTCGCCACGGGTCACAGCCGTTACTGTACTGTACAAAGAAAATATATATGTAAGACCCCCTAATGATTATTATCAATTTAATATATTCTTCGGTAATACTTCAAACTAATTACGTCTGTGGTAATACTCATCAATAAATACCAAATGGGAGTTCAAATTGTTCACCGCCAATAACATAGTATGATTAAAAATTGGAAAATATTGATATTAGATAAGTGGTTTATCAACTACAAACACAATACATTTGCAATATAAAATTATTTTAGTATAAAAAGATCTCGCCTATATTTGAAAATTTTAGTTTTTTTTATCATATACTAAGCAGAGTAGGTCTCCTTGAGGATTTATTTTTTCATACAATAATTTTAGAAAACTCAATTTTTATCTGCTCTTATGAAATAATGTATATCACATGGTCTACAAAAACGTATAAAAATAAGATAATGTTGTTTATACTCTTTGATAACCGTTTGAACCCCCAAGCTGTTTTAATGCTTTGTGCGTTCTTAAACAGTTCCATTAAAGGAGTCGACGAACAAAGGCGATCAAGAAATTAACAACTAGTTTAGTTTTATTTTTGTATACGTTATTTTTGCAATAGTTAGATGAAAACATCATCGACAATTTCCAAAATAGAAGATTTCAGTGTGATTGACTTCGGTTTTTGTAAAGGTACAACAACAATAAACTATTTAATTAATTCCATGCTAGAAATAAATATGTTTATCCACGACTCGTCTATAATTTTATTATTATATAGGAGTTTATGAAATAATAATAATATTCATTATTCACTAGTGAATAATAATATTCATTATTCACTAGTGAATAATAGTTTCATTATTCACCGCTTCCACGGATATCTCGATCCAAACTCCAAACAAGAGCTATTTGAAATTTTTAATGTCACTTTTTGCATTCATCTATATGGGGTGTTCCAAAAGTTGTTTTTCTTGTCATAAGATTTTTAAAATATTTTTTCCTTTTTAATAAACACCATTACGAAGAAACAATGTTAAAATTCCCTCATTTTCTACTCTAAAATTCGATTTAAAAATTTGAAGTATTAAACGTTACTTTTTGCATTCTAAAATTACATTTAAAAATTTGAAGTTTTCAATGTTATTTTTTGGATTCATCTAGGGGGGGTTTCAAAAGTTGTTTTTTAGAAATAAAAACTTATATTAATATTATCTAAATTTTTTTGATAGTCCTGGATAAAGTATAGTATTCTACTCGCATATAATGGCTGTTATTCACTTGGATGATTTATGACACGAGCCGCAGGCGAGTGTCATAAACTTCATCCGCGTGTATAACAGCCACCATTATATGCTTGTTGAATAATATACTATTATATAACGAACGAGGCATTTGTTTTTAATAAATAATATGTGCTTGATTTTTTTTTCAAATTTAGAAAGAAATGTATATAAGTGCATAAAAACTATATGTTTTTTTTAATTAATAGGGATTTAGTATGTTAACATAGATACCATGTAAACAGGGTGTCCAAGGCTGAGCGTGCGTTTCTAGAGAACTACAATATCTAGATGGGAGTTTTTTGCACATTTTTGTTTCACAACGAGATCTATCGATTAAAAATATTTATTATATGGCGGCACTTCCGGAAAAACCGGAAGTTGACAGCAACTCGTCGTTTAGGCTATACAGATTTTTTTGACAGGCAGTTTTTTTCGTCCAAAAATCTTAAATTTTTGTTTTCTCAAAAACGGTTAATGTTAGATCAAAATCATAAAATATCATAAAATTTTACAGAGAATTTAAGTATGTGATAAAAAATGGGGGTATCCATTTAAAATAAGAAAGTTGATGTCAACTTCTGGTATTTCCGGAAGTGCCGCCATATTGAAAATATTTTTAATCGATAGATCTCGTTGTGAAAAAATTGATGTGCAAAAAAAATCCGATCAAGATATTGTAGTTCTCTAGAAACTTCTAATGCACGCTCAGCCTGGGACACCCTATATATGTACCATATACGGGTTATTTTTAAATATAAAGTTTGTGCAAAGAGTGAAGGAAGATTTCGAAAGATGACATCCAAAAAATGACAATCACTGAAAATTCAATTTACCTGGTGAATAAAGACTATCTGTCCAAAGGGGGCATCCCTGACAGGGACAGTTGTGTCTGTCAATTTACTTCACAAGCAATTGTATTTTCTGTCATTTTTTGGATGTCGTCTGTTGAAATATTCCCTGAGATTGGGTACACTATGTTACGTGCATTAAAAATTTAGGAGGTCGCTGTCAAAATTTTAAAATCCAGAATAAAACTCTTTATTAGTGACAGTTGTCTGGCATTTGAGTTCAAAGTAAATTTATTTTTCTGCCCGTCTTTCTGGTCTTAAAGTGTCCCTTCACTCGCTGCATGCTGCATAGACTTTACATTTATAAAATATTTGGTCGCTGTCAAAATTTGAATATCTAATTTATAACTATAGTGTCTATCCAACGGATGACAGTGACAGTTCTCTGTCATTTTAATGCAAAGTGAATTTATTTTTCGGTCAAGTTCTGAATGTCCTAATTCGTCCTCATGATCATTCCGTCTATGATTCCGTCTCTCGTTGGATAAACATATATTTACATTTATGATCCACATGGTCGAAAAAAAAACGGCGTCGGCGATGGCTATGAAATGAAGATCGGTGTCATTTTATATATGTAAAATTATATGGGGAATGTCATCAATCGTCATATCGTCATTTTCAAACCAACTGGACGCCGTTTTTCGATCATACAGTATACAGGGTGTCCCAGGCTGAGCGTGCATTAGAAGTTTCTAGAGAACTACAATATCTAGATGGAAGATTTTTTGCACATCATTGTTTCACAATGAGATCTATCGATTAAAAATATTTTCAATATGGCGGCACTTCCGGAAATACCAGAAGTTGACAGCAACTTTCTTATTTTAAATGGGTGCCCCCATTTTTTATTACATACTTAAATTCTCTATAAAATTTTATGAATATTGATGTTAGACACTCTATACCTAACATTAACCGTTTTTGAGAAAAAAAATATTTAAAATTTTTGGACGAAAAAAACTACCTGTCAAAAAAATTTGTATGGCCTAAAAGTCAAATTTAGTGATTACCACCGCCACTGTGACATAAAGAGAAGACATGTGGCTATCTATTTCAAAAATTAAATTGTTCAAATGTCATATATAATAATGGCGGTAGCTGTCATGAAATTGAGCGATTAAAAAATTATCTATTTTTTTCAAATGGAAACCCACTTTTTTTATTTCACTAGTAAAAAGGTTGTTCAATTTGTTACTTTTTAACTATACATGTTCATATACCTAAAATAAATCGTTTTTAAGTTATTTAAGATTTAATTTGAAAACGTATATTTTTCTTGATTTTATCTAGCTTCCTTTGACATTAAGTGTCAAACAGTCAGACAATTTATTTCCTTCTGTCAGAAAACGAATTATTTGAATTTACTATATTATAAATACTGCCTGCTCAAGAGTTTAAAAAGTGTATTTATAAAAATATATCTCGTATTTTCACTCTTTAGATCTAATAGTTGACATTATTAATAATATACCGTTAGATCGAAAAAAACAGCGCAAAGTTGGCTAGGAAATGATCGATAACATACTGCTTTTTGAACAAAGTGTCACAATATGAGAGATCTATTGTTTTTCATTTTCATCACTGGGCGTTTAAAGTCATAGCCTTGTATAAGAATATATAAACAAGGGTCATAGGCTACTGGTTAAAATCAATAAAAATATACGCTTTAAAACTAAATCTTAAATAACTTAAAGACGATTTATTTTAGGTATAGGAACATGTATAGTCAAAAAGTAAGGAATTGAAAAACTTTTTCACTAATGAAGTAAAAAAAGTGGGTTATTATTTGATAAAAACAATTTATGATAATTTTTTAATCGCTCAATTCCATGACAGCTGCGGCCATTATTATATGGCATTCGAACAATTTAAAAATTGAAATAGATAGCCACATGTCTTCTCTTTATCGCACAGTGGCTGTGGTAATCACTAAATTTAACGTTTAGGCTATACACATATTTTTGGCAGGCAGATTTTTTCGTCGAAAAATATTAAATTTTTTTTTTCTCAAAAACGGTTAATGTTAGGTATAAGGTATAAAGTGTCTAATATCAAAATTCATAAAATTTTACAGAGAATTTAAGTAAAAAGTTACAGAGAATTTACATTTAAAATAAGAAAGTTGCTATCAACTTCCGGTATTTCCGGAAGTGCCGCCATATTGAAAATATTTTTAATCGATAGATCTCGTTGTGATACAATGATGTGCAAAAAATTTCCGATCTAGATATTGTAGTTCTCTAGAAACGTCTAATGCACGCTCAGCCTGGGACACCCTGTATATATACTGATAAAATATGGATAGTTAAAAAAATAATGTTAGATATAGCTTGCAAATATACAATCCAATTGTTTTTACATAAATATTGCCCCCTCTTTTCAAAATTAATTAAAAAAATATATATATTTAATCCCTCTAAAATAGTGTCTTTTACAGATGACGTATTTTTCTTAAATATTTTAAGCTCTCATTTTTTTCTGCATGTTGTTTTTTAAACATCAGTGATATTTTATTAGCCTCCTATTGATAGATCATTCTTTGTAATATGTGCATATTTTAGACTGTTTGGAAGAAGAGATAAAAATGTCTGTTCCACAGGGAGCTTTTGCGTCCATCAAAGTAAGAAAAAATATGAACAAAATGATTGATGATTATGCTCCTACGAAACAGGAACCATCGAAGTATAACAGCAAATACATGAACAGTATTTGGGGCATGTACAACAGATTTTCTGTTCATAATCTAAAAAAATTAACGGACTCCAATGCATCGTAATAATGATTAAGCATTTTTTTAAATTATTATTAATTGTTGTTTTTTAGGCAATCTACTGTGCAAGGTGTTAAGGGCTTGAATGCCTCTTCTCAACTGTCTGTATCAGTAGAAAGAATTTCGAATGTGCCGCTATGAAAATGTCTGGAGTCATAATAATTATTTAATAATAATTTTCGAGTGAAATAAGGCTTAATTTATTTTACTGACATACATTAGTTTGTGACTCTGGTTTGTGACAAATAATATAATTATTTTTCTGCGGTATAAATTATTTTTATATAATATAATTCTTTTCGATGTTTTAAGTATCTTTATTGCCCCAGGGTCCTTATTTTTGAGCAATCGCATCTTCAAATGTTACTCGTATATGTAATGTGTACACTGTCGTGATCCTGGATTGGACCACCGTCGTCACCAATCTTGTAGTCGCTGCCACCAAATGTTGTAGTTCTCTATTTGACTCGTATCACCACTTGTTGGGAATGTTATTCTTTATTTTTTTATAATTAAATTCTTACTAAGTTGTTATTACTTTTTATTTTTAAACTTTTAATACAAAATTATGAACTTATTTGTAACAAAACATTTTTACAAAATAAAAATAATGTATTTTGATACAAATAAAATTAATAATCTAGGTTGAAATTATCCCTGAAATTAGAATAAAACACGAAAAATTTGTAACTTGATTATTTTATTTTATAACATTGTTAATAAAATTACATATAACACATTCAACACTATACAAGTATATATAAAATTATCAGAATTTATACAATCAGTTACCAAGTAATTATAAAAAAAGGTTATAAATTATAAATAAATAATTCATTATATAAAAGACATATAGTTACCGTGAATATAATTTGGTATAACTTTAATCTCAACTTAATGACCTATTCAAATAGAAACATCTTACAATTCACATTATATAATACACAAAGCCAAGGGACAAAATTGTTATTAAATCTATTCTCTGAATGACTCGAAGCATTTTTTTTCAAATAAAACAGGACATATATAGGGCTTATAAACCAATACAAGGGTATAGAAAATATATAAATAAGTAAATACAAATATATTTTCAACCTAATGATTAATGATTATACTCGTTTAAAGAAATAAATGATCTTTTAAAATTACTTGTTTGTCTTTGCAAATTTGTATATTTAATATTTATCTAAAAGCGTACACTTACATAAATTACTGCACAACCTTTAAAATTAAGCTTTTAATATGTTATACAAATTCTTGATTCGATATAAATACACTTAAATAAAACTTTAAAATTAATAATCTTCCAAATTTCTGAGACAGCCATTTTGTTGAAAGAATTTGTTTTATGAGAAATTTCATAAAAATTATCACAGGGATTAATTAATCATATATTAAAACTACTTGGCTTTTAAATTTAACAATCCTATCGTCCAAAATACTCTAAATTCGCAAAAATCCGTAAAATATTCCCATAAAAACAAATCACAATTCACTTCCACTTCACAGAAACTGACAGACATTGCCAAATATGGAATGTTTATTTTTCAATTTATTTTACTGATCTAACCGATCGGTTCACTTAGAAATTAAATTTTTATTAAATTATTTAATTATAATTGTTTCTGGCAGAAAGCAACTTCATATCAATGTTTATTCATAGGGTAACAAAAGCACATCACTGTTAAATTATCAACATTTTATATAAATATTTATATTTTTTTCAACTACTCCAACTACTCCAATTACTCCACAGAGAGAATCAAACAGTTGTGATATTAAACTAAACTCTGTGGATGACTTGATAAAATCATGATGAAATTAAAGTCCCTAGATGAATATCTAGGGACTTTAGATGAAATTTCTACGCAGCGCCATCTATCCCTCTACTGGCAGAAACTCCGCCGTGTTTCCAAAATTCAAATGGCAGTTTCATCCGCCTGGTGTACACTGTACACGCAAAGTTGCGAACAAAGAATATATTCATCTTACGAATGATGTCAAGAAATAAGTACCTACCCGTTTATTTATATATTTGGTTTATATATACCTATAATACAAGCGAAGATGTTGATAATAAATAAAGAAATGGTAAATTTATTTTGAAAAGTGCCTAAAATAAATAGAACATTGGCCGCTCTGGGTTAATGTTCTAATTTTAATTAACTGTACAAAACTATAATTAAAATGTTAATTTTTTCGTATCTTTTGCCGATATTTTATGCCACTATGGACAGGACAAGATTAAATTTTGATATTTTATAATTCTTATATTATTTTTCTGCACATTAGCATCTCTGTTAGCATCATGTTAGCATCACAGATAACAGAACTAATTGTTAGCATCTGGTATGATATCCATATGATATCTGATGATATGAAAGAGTAGATATGATCATGATCCGGTCATCGATCCTAAGTTATCGTCATCCTCGTCATTCGTCATCCTTTAATTTCCCAAGGGCATCATATCATCAGAGCAGAGAAATAGAAGGGATAGAGAATGAGCTTCAACATGCGCGGAAGGTCTAATCAAGTTGGGCGCCATATTCCAGGTCTCCGTGTCATTTTGTATATAGGTGGTAATCTATAAGTAATCAAATATCAATTTGCTGTTTTCAACCATACGGGGGGCAATTTAAATTTAGTGAAATTCTATCATTTATTGTGGTTAGTTAACATTAATATGATTTATTTAATTATCAGTTTCAAAACTGCGTACAATATTGGTATATAATACACTAAATGTGCACTAAATATACGAATATTCTGACAAAAGACGCTACGGACAGATGACCTTTTCGTCGTTAAACACTCGAAATGCCATTAAATAAGTATTTAAATTATTTCATATTTACTTGTACAGAATTACGCGTTTCAATTTAAAATTTTTGCAAATTTGGTAAAAATTGTTCTAAACAACTTTTTGTTCAAGTTGTATATTCATAAAAACATTTGGTGCATAATTATTTTTGATGATTACTTACCTTGTATTTTTAATATAAACCTAGAAAAAAATATGTTTTGTTTTATTTTTTTATTCGTCCCATCAAATTGTGTTACAAAACACTGTTACATAACATAATATGTTCTAACAAATATTTTCATAATACATAAACATCTATTGATTTTATTATGGGTATTATTATTAGTATTTATCCTGGTTTTGTCGACAAAAAAAACTCAGTCTTGTAATAGAACATCAATTTTATATTTCCTGTAAAATTATTTTGATACAAATTAATTTGTCAAAATTCAAGTCATTAAATATATTGATAAACAACCCAAATTATTCCTAAATATTTTATTATAAAAAAAAACTGTTATTACCGATAAGTTTGTAAAAACACATTATCGTTTGTATCTTAATACACAAAATAATTTATTTTTTTGCACAAAAGAAGCTTGTCGATCCTTATTTGTCCATACAAAATTCTGTATGTACAACATACATATACCTAATTTATTATTAAGAAAATTAGATTATATGATCTCAGAATTTTTAAGAAATTTTTTAAGATAAAATAGTTTCTTCTCAACTGTAATATTGTCAACTTTGGCCTGTATTTTATCTATTTAAAAACATGGGATTGACAATCCCCTGATTAAGTTTCATTGCATCAAATACCTTTGCTATAAATCCTGGTTCACAATTTAAGGCCATTGCAAAAATGCTTTTGAGCTTCATCATAGATTTTACAAGAATAAAGTGTAATATTGAAACAAAGTAACATTGTAAGCTTCATGACTAATAATCTCATTTTTAACACTCTTTAAATATCATTTCGTTAACAATTATGAATATTATATGATTTTTCTCAGTGATTTGTGGCACAGATACAAATTAATATATGCCCCATAACAGTTTTAAATAAGAAACTTCTGCCTACAGATTTAATTTTCTTATTGGCATAATACCCTTTCTTCCTATATAAATCTTGCCATTTTTAAAGTCCAATGTTCCTTGTTTTTTACAGTTGTAGGAATACTAAAAATGTTGACTATAGAACTCGATACTATGTTTGAAAAAGCCTTCATACCTGTAACTTTGTGCATAAAATCTAATTAACTGAATTCTCCTCCTTGACACACACTCTGAACACGGCTTAACGCTAATGTTAGAAATATTTAGCACAAAACTACCTACAACAAACTCTATAACAAAAGTGTTAAATTTTAGCTGTTCGATTAAACTACCCTATCTTATGTTTTCTTTTCCTCCAAATAATCTTCTTGTCAAGTAAGGACCAATCTTATTTGATATATTTCTGGTCACTTGAACTTGTGCTTTCATGGACACTATAAAGAGTGCACTGTTTTACAGAAGCACGAACAGTGATTCAAGTATCTTCTTCCACCACACGTAATAAAAACATCTCTTAAATGGCAACATCATACACTTATTTTTGACCATTCCCAATTACAATCACGATTTTACAAATCGCCTTTAGGAAAACTAAAATAAACAGTTTTTGAATCATCTGTAAACACGATTATGTTGTATAAACTTACACATGAAAACTAATCATTATTCCCGGCATTATTATTAGAATGACTATGAATATACAACAAGCCTTTTGAATTAGTGTTTGGAATAATTGAGATAATAATAAATTTTAACTAGATAACAACACAAACGAAAAACAAAACAAAACAAACAGATGTCAATTAAAGAGGGGAAGTGACAGCGAGACCTGGAAGATGTCTGCCATCTTGCCGTCGACAAAAAATTTGGATGCGCACTCGTCGAAGCCAGGGTTCGGAAGTAGTTAACTAAGACGTAATTTACCTGATTAACTACGTGTAGTTTTTCTTCAAAACTACATCTTTTCCCGTTCATTAACTACATGAAAACTACGTTAATAAACTATGCATTGATATTACATGAATAATTTTCTTTGTATGAGGTGTAATTAGAGATAATACCATATTTCTTCTGTTTTCTTAAATACATTATGTGTTTTTAAAGCTTCAACTTATTATAACCTCACCTCAAACCTTTGACATTTGAAAGTTACATACATAGGTTACATAAACTACACCTCTACATAAACTACATTAACTACATGTAATGTAGTTTCATGTAGTTTTTAAATAGCAACATGTAGTTTTCTGAACCCTGGTCGAAGCTCATTCTCCCACTTCCATATCTCTGCATCAGAGGCATCGTCAACGAGTTGTCAGGTTGTCACCCAACAGGATATCAGAGTTATTAAACTACACGTAGTAATTAATAAACTACATTTACTACATGTCACAAGTAGTTTTCGACTAGTAAATGTGTAGTTTATGTAACTAATGTAGTTTTTTTAAATAACAGTCAGGGTTCGGAAGTAGTTAATTAAGACGTAATTTACCTGATTAACTACGTGTAGTTTTTCTTCAAAAAACTACGTCTTTTCCCGCCATATTTCTTCTGTTTTTTTAAATACATTGTGTTTTCTAAGTTTCAACTTATTATAACAAGATTATAACCTCACCTCAAACCTTTGATATTTGAAAGTTACATACATAGGTGACATAAACTACACCCTCTACATAAACTACATTAACTACATGTAATGTGGTTTATGTAGTTTTTAAAAGTAACATGTAGTTCTCCGAACCCTGATAACAGTGAAAACATAACCTAAAAACTTAAATAAAAAATCTATATTTTCTGAATTGTCGTTCATGTGATATTTTTGATACTTTAGTAGTTAAAACTGGTTGGAAGACGTCGATGTCTCCATACCTTGCTCCATACCTTCTAGGAAAAGGGGAATTATAAAGTTGTGCCTTTAGATGTAAAAAATCATATATTCTCCTGGAGAATGTCTATGGAGAATTTCTCCATAAGAATTTATAGTTTATTTTGTGTTCAATGTTACTTTGTATTTCATAGAAAATACCCTTTTGTTGAAAAAAAAATTGTCTTTTTTTCTGATGTTGTTTAACTTATACAAATATAATATAACTTCATACCTCCATCTTCCATGATAAGAATTTGGCTTGATTTTTGTTTAAAGTCTAAATTGTTTATGTTTCAAGGGTTTTACTATATTTTTGTAGGTAGTTTTTAACGTAGTTTTTGTGTAGTTTTTGAAGGTAGTTTTTAAAATTTTAAAACGTAGTTAATACAAAAAACTACGCGTCGTTCTTGGCGTAGTTTTTTGCTTCATAATCTACTTAACAACCCTGGCAATGATATGAGTATATGAGTTATAGCCTTAGATCCGCTTAGGTGGATCCTGTCTCTACCTCTGTACTCAACTGAGGATGGTGATAGGATTACCATCCTCCATAAGAATTTATAGTTTATTTTGTGTTCAATGTTACTTTGTATTTCATAGAAAATACCCTTTTGTTGAAAAAAAAATTGTCTTTTTTTCTGATGTTGTTTAACTTATACAAATATAATATAACTTCATACCTCCATCTTCCATGATAAGAATTTGGCTTGATTTTTGTTTAAAGTCTAAATTGTTTATGTTTCAAGGGTTTTACTATATTTTTGTAGGTAGTTTTTAACGTAGTTTTTGTGTAGTTTTTGAAGGTAGTTTTTAAAATTTTAAAACGTAGTTAATACAAAAAACTACGCGTCGTTTTTGGCGTAGTTTTTTGCTTCATAATCTACTTAACAACCCTGGCCATGATATGAGTATATGAGTTATAGCCTTAGATCCGCTTAGGTAGATCCTGTCTCTACCTCTGTACTCAACTGAGGATGGTAATCCTATCGCCAAGCCGGATAGTTCTAGCAGCTTAGGCCTTTAAATTAAATAAATTGAAAAAAAAGAAGAATAATTGTCAATTGTTATTGTCACCTCTGCTGTCACTGTCAAAACTGCACTTGAACATTTTGCGCGTTTAAATTTGTGAAAGAAATATATATTTTTACTAAATTACAGTATTTGTAATTCTAACTCGTGTACCTACTAACTATTCAATATGCCGAGAGGTAAGTTTTTTTACTATCTTATTATCTATTATTTAAATTCTAGGTTAGAAAAAAAATGGTTTGACTTTTGATTCCACGCCTACAAATAGGTACCTATGGTACATTTTTTTAAAGATAATTTATTTTTATTTTTATATTTTAAATTGCTAATGATATTTATATATAACCATCAACACCGTTTTTATATAATATTAGCCAAAGACTTTAAATATATTTTTATTTATGACTAGGTATTATTAAAATTTATTACAATATTAAATAACGCAATTTACAGGTAAATTTACAAATCACAAAGGGAGAAATCGTAGATTTACTAATCCTGAAGAATTGGAGGAAGAACGTAGAAAAGAAGAACAAAAAAAGAAATGGAGACAACAGCATGGTGATGAGAGCAGTGAAGAAAGCGAAGATGAACAAAAAGATAATGAAGGATCTGAAAGTGGAGAGGAAGAAGAAAGTAGTGATGAAGAGGAACAAGCTGTTGGTATTCTAATATGCTGTTTGACAAACTGTTATATATATTTTTTTATTTTCAGAAAGCTAAGGGTGTATCTAATTTAATTGAAATTGAAAATCCTAATAGGGTCCAAAAGAAAACAAAGAAGTTGTCAACACTAAACACTGCCGATTTATCTGATAAACCCCAATTATCTAGGAGAGAAAGGGAAGAAATAGAAAAGTATGTTTATCAAACATATTTTTTTAAATAAATCAATTAAATAATTTTCTAGACAAAAAGCCCAAGCCCATTATCAGAAACTTCATTCTGAGGGTAAAACAGATCAAGCTAGAGCTGATTTAGCTAGGTTAGCCATAATTAAACAACAACGTGAAGAGGCCAAGAAGAGAAGGGAAGCTGAACAGAAAGGTTAGTAAATCTTAAAAAAGATTAATTTAGATATTAATTGGCTTTATTTTAGAAAAAGAGGAAGCTGCTAAAGCCAAAACTGCAGCAACACAAAAAGCATTGGGGAAAAAATAGGAATTATGTTAGATTTTAATAACTGCACTAAACCTTCAAGAGCAACTATTTTTTCTAAATTTATACTATCACCTTTGACTATCACCAAGATATTCAAATGGAAAAATAGTTCTTGTTTTAAAATTGAAGGTAAATATGCAATACTTAATTTAAGAAATTTTATTGTTGTATTAAGATTTTTTTTATGTTTACTAATATCTCTGGTTCATACTCTTTTTTTTTCAAAATCATATTCTCATTTTTGTTATGTCTCATATCATGTGATTCTAATAAATTCTTTTTAAAACTGTAACAAATGTTTTATTGGTTTAAAATATAGTATAATATATAATTTTCAAAATTGTTAGACAATATCTGTTAGGTATAAAATCTATTTTTTAATTGGCCACTGTGGCTTTCTTTTTTCTATAAAACTTCTAATTCCTTCTTGACAATCGAGATTTTGTAGATTATTGATCATTTCACTTTCTCCTAGATCATATGCTTCCTTTATATCGCACTGAATTTGTTTATAATAGAATTTTTTCCCCATTTCTATAACATTTCTACTTTTTGATATAATTGCATTGCATATAACTTCCAAATCTTTATCTATGTTATCAGGAGAGCAAACTTGTGTTACGAGACCTACAGATTTAGCTTCAACAGCTGGTATGGGTAATCCTGTTAAGAGCATATACAAAGTTGGCATTTTGTTTATAGATCGAGCTAAAGCTACACCTGGAGTGGAACAAAAGATGCCAAAGTTAGCTCTATAATGAGAATTTTAAAGATTTAGGTTTTTAAATAATTATTAATTTTATATAAAAACTTGCCCTGGAGTAGAAAAAGTACTTCTTTCAGTACATACAGCAATGTCACATTGTGCAATAAGTTGACAACCTGCTGCTGCAGCTACACCATCTATCTTGGCAATAACAGGAACAGGAGAGTCTATTATAGAAAGCATTAGTTCGGAGGCTAGCTTAAAACATTCTTTTTGTTTTTGGGTATCTACAGCCTGGAAAAATAATTTTAATAGGAATATTAGGTTAAAACAAGTCTTACTATTTCTTTTAGATTGTGACCTGCAGAGAAAACTGGACCAGTTGATGATATTATAATTAATCTGAGCTCATAATTATCTTTGTCGCTATTTATATTGTCTAAAAGATCCTTCATCATGGCAATAGATAAAGAATTTCTAAAACATTTGTAAATTTACCATATATATTATTTGTATGCTTAAGTCATAAGCATAGTCATAAGCTTACCTTGATTTCTGATCACACATAGTGATAGTTTTAATTCCATGGGTGAAATTAACTGTGGTGTATTGAGACATAAATGATTTTTGCATAATTGAAATGAGACCCTAAAAGATTATTTTAATTTAAGGCTTGTTTTTAAATCAAGTTAAATTATATTTTACCTTTGAAACTAACTTAGTGCAAAACATACTGATATTTATATGCATATAGAATATAGAGAATTAAAAAATGTAAATATTTTTATAACCTAAAATTATCAAAATGTTATAATCATAGGAGATTTTTAACACAATTTTTAATTATCAGCTGTTTAGAATGAAATATATAGTTTTCAGTTTCCTATACGGGTGATATTTAAATCCTCAAGATGTCTCTTTTCTCTTTATTGACAATTTGGGTAGGTACTTTAAATTTGGGAGGGACTTTAAATTTGAGTTAAATTTGGAACATGGTACAAAGAACACAAGGTATGATCGATAGCGGCTCCAATTTCGTTAAGTTTGAGCCAGAGATATGGAAGTGGGAGAATGAGCTTCGACGAGTGCGCATCCAAATTTTTGTCGACGGCAGGATGGCAGACATCTTCCAGGTCTCGCTGTCACTTCCCCTCTTTAATTGACATCTGTTTGTTTTGTTTTGTTTTGTTTTTTTCGTTGGTGTTGTTATCTAGTTAAAATTTATTATTATCTCAATTATTTTAAACACTAATTTAAAAAGGCTTGTTGTATATTGTCATAGTCATTCTAAGAAAGCTAATACGCCGGGAAAAATGATTAGTTTTCATGTGTAAGTTCATACAACATAATCGTGTTTACAGATGATCCAAAACTGTTTATTTTTAGTTTTCCTAAAGGCGATTTGTAAAAATCGTGATTGTAATTGGGAATCGTCAAAAATAAGTGTATGATGTGGCCATTTAAAGAAGATGTTTTTATTACGTGTGGAGGAAGAAGATACTTGGAATCAATGTTCGTGCTTCTGTAAAACAGTGCACTCTTATAGTGTCCATGAAAGCACAAGTTCAAGTGTACCAGAAATATGTCAAATAAGGTTGGTCCTTACTTGACAAGAAGATTATTTGGAGGAAAAGGAAACATAAGATAGGGTATTTTAATCGAACAGCGAAAATTTAACATTTTTATTGAAAAGTTTGTTGTAGGTAGTTGTAGTTTTGTGCTAAATATTTCTAACATTAGCAGCAGCAGTGTTCAGAGTGTCAAGAGGAGGAGAATTCAGTTAATTAGATTTATGCACAGTTACAGGTATGAAGGCTTTTTCAAACATAGTATCAAGTTCTATAGTCAACATTTTTAGTATTCCTAGAACTGTAAAAACAAGGAACATTGGACTGAAAAAATGGCAAGATTTATATAGGAAGAAAGGGTATTATGCCAATAAGAAAATTAAATCTGTAGGCAGAAATTTCTTATTTAAAAACTGTTATGGGGCATATACCGTATGATCGAGAAAAAACGGCGTCAGCGATGGCTATGAAATGAAGATCGCTGTCATTTTATATGTAAATTTATATGGGATATGTCATCGATTGTCATTTCCCAGCCACTGGACGCCGTTTTTTTTCGATCATACGGTATTAATTTGTATCTGTGCCACAAATCACTGAGAAAAATCATATAATATTCATAATTGTTAACGAGATGATATTTGAAGAGTGTTAAAAACGAGACTATTAGTCATGAAGCTTACAATGTTACTTTGTTTCAATATTACACTTTTATTCTTGTAAAATCTATGATGAAGTTCAAAAGCATTTTGCAATGGCCTTAAATTGTGAGCCAGGATTTTTAGCAAAGGTATTTGATGCAATGAAACTTAATCGGTACCTTCCAGTATGTATTTTAGTAAGGGAATTGTCAATCCCATGTTTTTAAATAGATAAAATACAGGCCAAAGTTGACAATATTACAGTTGAGAAGAAACTATTTTATCTTAAAAAAATTTTTCTTAAAATTCTGAGATCATATAATCTAATTTTCTTAATAATAAATTAGGTATATGTATGTTGTACATACAGAATTTTGTTATGGACAAATAAGGATCGACAAGCTTCTTTTGTGCAAAAAATAAATTATTTTTTCTAGTATTACGACAAACCATAATGTGTTTTACAAACTTACCGGTAACAGTTTTTTTTTATAATAAAATATTTAGGAATAATTTGGGTTGTTTATCAATATATTAATGACTTGAATTTTGACAAATTGAATTTGTATCAAAATAATTTTACGAAATATAAAATTGATGTTCTATTACAAGATTGAGTTTTCATTGTCGACAAAAACCAGGATAAATACTAATAATACCCTTAATAAAATCAATGATGTTTATGTATTATGAAAATATTTGTTAGAGGACATGTTATGTAACAGTTTTTGAAACACAATTTGAAGGGACGAATAAAAAAAATAAAACAAAAACATATTTTTTCTAGGTTTATATTAAAAATACAAGGTAGGTTTGATCATCAAAAATAATTATGAACCAAATGTTTTTTTATGAATATACAACTTGAACAAAAAGTTGTTTAGAACAATTTTTACCAAATTTGCAAAAATTTTAAATTGAAACGCGTAATTCAGTACAAGTAAACATGAAATATTGTAAATACTTATTTAATATCATTTCGAGTGTTTCACGACGAAAAGGTCATCTGTCCGTAGCGTCTTTTGTCAGAATATTCGTATATTTAGTGTATTATATACCAGTATTGTACGCAGTTTTGAAACTGATAATTAAATAAATCATATTAATGTTAACTAACCATAATAAATGATATAATTTCACTAAATTTAAATTGCCCCCCGTATGGTTGAAAACAGCAAATAGCAAATTGATATTTGATTACTTATAGATTACCACCTATATACAAAATGACAGGAAGACCTGGAATATGGCGCCCAACTTGATTAGACCTTCTGCGCATGTTGACGCTCATTCTCTATCCCTTCTATTTCTCTGGTTTGAGCATACCACCTGTGACGTCATACGCCATACAGAAAAATATCCATATTGTTCAATTGCCACTAATAAAAAAAAGACCTAAAATATGGAAGAATCAGGAGATCAGGACATAACCCCAAAAGTTATGTCAAATTATCGAGCTTGACATTTGAAAAATTATTTTCGCGTTTATTGTGTCATCTGTTTGACAATTTGAAATTGGCGCGCGGAGCTTGCCGACCAATGGTGCCGTTTATCACCTGTGACGTAGTAACCAACCTGCGCAATATCATACCGTGTATTCTTTTTATCATGAATTTGGAATCTAGTAAACCGCCGTTATTTAAACTGACAGTGATTATTGCGCATTTTTAAACGTTAAATCAAATACATTTCTTATTCTAAAACGAAAGAAGAAAATGACTTCAACGCCAGGAGCATACAATAGTATTTTGATTCAAAATGCAGCTACACCATCTCTTATTAATTATATGCCATCTTCGCATTGCGGTAGTACTCATGATGCTTCCGAAATTATATTAGAACCAACATTGGATTCTGATACTACAACTGAAGAGGTAACTTTTAAATCAAGACTAATATAGTTTATTTTTTTATATATATTCCAAAATGGCTCCTGGAGCGCCATCGAGTGCCGTAGCAAGCAACTTAATTTAATGTTTATACAATTATTTTAATTAAAGGAAGATACTACTGTGCCATATTACGATGAACATGGGGAGCAAAGATGTGAAGAATTATGGAGGGCTTATAGAGATGCAGCAGGTCAATAGTAAAATACGAAAATATCTTATATATTTACCTAAAAGTCTATATTTTCAATAGGTTTATGGATCAGTTTTAGATTTAATATTGAAGAATGGAAATCAAAAGGAGATCAGTGTGATCATACCCTATTTGATGATTATGATGAGATCGGTGGAACTGAAATGGAAAATACCGTCTCATTGACTAAGAAAATTATCGCTAGCGGTCTGTCCAGAATAGCTAGTTGTCCCGAATTTTACCATTATGCGTATACCAAATGCGTTTTGCAAAAAAAAGTATGATTTATTCTCTTTCAAACATCCATGTGCTATAGAATTGCAGGGACGCGCCAAGTATTTTCGGCGCCGTCGTGCGAAATAAGGGTAGGCGCCTTTCTCCAATATTATAATATTAAGCCAGCATTTCCAATGACATTCGACATTGGTGGATAATATTATTTATGTTTCCACCACTGGCGTTCATAGATAAAAGTATTACTTAAATTTTATGTTAATTTGTTGATAAGTTCTATATAAGTTCCAAAAAATGGTTTTATTATTTTTTAAAGTCAGGTGACCGCAGACGCCTTTTGGCGCCGTCGTGCGCCGCACGACCTTGCCCATATGAACGGCGCGTCCCTGTAGGATTGGGTATCGCAAAAATGTGCCGTACAGTAGTGACGGCTCTTGTCTTGCAAAAGTGAAGCAAAACAATAATATGCGGTAGATTTTTTAAAAAATTTACAAGGATTAGGTAAATATTTTTCACTAGATATTGTAAATCGCAAATCGCCGTCTCAATACAGGGTGATTGACGTAGATTTGACGTTTATGGAGAATCCGGTGATTTTTTGCTTTCCACCTGTGTAAATTAAAGGGGGGTCCACATTTAGTAACATGTTATATAACATTGCTATTCAACAAGCTACATATAACATGTTAAAAAACCGGGAGCCGTCCACATTATAGTTTTCGTAATCATGAATCGCATTGACGAGAAAGAGGTTCTGCTCGCAGCAGCGGCGTGCGTAATTACTTTTGAAGAATGAGAAAGAAAGTCGAGAAAAAAGCGGTTTTGAATCCGCAAGATCTAGATATAGTTGAACTCAATTAGCTTACCTTTTCAATACTTGCCTCGGCTGTTCTCGTGGTGCGTTTCTGTCTTTTAAAAACATTATTAATAACTTAAAAGCAAACCATTTTTAATTATCCTCTTCATCTAAACCAGTACCTGATTTGCATTTCTTTTGTTCCCTCTGGAACTGACCTATTAGATAACGCCTCGGATAACATTTTTTTCTAAACTTTTTCTTTTTCCAAATACATACTTCTTGCAATTTTTAACCATGCATCATGCTTTTTTTTATTTCACTTTAAATGAGGGACTACGGATATCCCATAACACTGTACGATCTCTATACAACTTAATTACTTGACAAGTCTGCTCTTGGTGCTACTCCATTAATATAAGAACCATACGATCGAAAAAAATGGCGTCAGCGATGGCTATGAAATGAAGATCGCTGTCATTCTATATGGAAAATTATATGGGGAATGTCATCGTCATGGCCAAGCCAACTGGACGCAGTTTTTTCGATCTTATGATATTATTGACCAGTAAATAAACAAACCAATATCAGTTCACCACACTAAAATTCTGTCGCGTACGTCCCTGAAAATATGAGCGGCTAAACTAGAAATTTAGCAAGTCTGGACGCATTGTTTCATGTTACAATATAGCAGTGTTGTACAACATCTAGCAAGTTATATATATATATATATATATATATATATATATATATATATATATATATATATATATATATATATATATTATAATTACAGATTACAAGTTATACATATATAAGTGAGCAGCAGTATATATATATATATATATATATATATATATATATATATATATATATATATATATATATATATATATATATATATATATATATATATATATATATATATATATATATATATATATATATATATATATATATATATATATATATATATATATATATATATATATATATATATATATTATATATATATATATATATATATATATATATATATATATATATTATAATTACAGATTACAACAAGTTATACATATATATATATATATATATATATATATATATATATATATATATATATATATATATATATATATATATAATAATATAATTTGCTAAATATGACTAAAAACATGTAACATGTTATATAACTTTGCTATATAGCAGTGTTATATAGCAAGTGTGGACCGTCCTTAAGAGAACAACGGCCTACGATCGAGTCGTCGGCCGCTGCTGGCACGTATACGTAGACGTAAAGAATCTTTTACATGTTTTTAGTCTGTGCCGTTGTTACGTTTTTCGTCAGTTCCGTGTGGATAAAAAGTCTAATTTATTTAAACACAATTTATTTTACACTAAGTAACAAAACAATAACGATAAAACACTCAAAGAACTATTTACAAACTTATTTACAACTATTTATCTAAAAGGGATTTATTTGAATTTATTTTAAAAGACGCGAACACGACTACCTTATGCATTTATACATTCCGTACATGTATACGGCACCTAGCAGAATCTAGTGATGGGCAAAACTGTTACTTTTAGATAACAGTTGAAACTGTTATAGTTATTTATAAAAAAACAGCTTAAAATAACAGCTTAAAAATAACAGGTTTCTTTATCTTATTGCTAAATATCTGAAAGAGTATGAGGCGGTCACCGCCAGGCGTATTAACGCAGTTGCAAGTTGCAACAATGACATGCTCGGTGGTAGTATTTCCAGGGTGTCAAAACATTTATAAATATCGATTGTTATCTAAAATACCTCTCTAAAAACGGTCGTTGTTTACAAATAAGCGCTGTTTACAAATTGCGATATAAAAAAGCCAAAATTCCGCCACTCGTCTATACGTATACATTCCGATCTACCTACGCCTTGCCCCTCGATCGGCGTAGATCCTGAATTGCGTAGTAGTGTACAGGGTGCATCTCACTCGACGGGCGAGAAGCTCTTAGTTATAATTTTACCATTTGCGGTCAAAAAATAGCAATATAAGAAAATGTCTAGTATATTCTTCATAAGTAAACCAACTACACACTAGAGTTCGAATTAATTTTACACTTAAACTAGCGTGTACCCGCGACTTCGTTCGCGTCGAATTAATAATTTGTAATGGTTATGATAAAGCAAAGCAAGAATTTCTATTAACATACAAACTGGATAAAATTTTCTCACATTTTCCAAAAATAAGCTTTAAACGTCGAGCAGTTTAAGCAGAATCGTGGTTAATCAATTACTCAACTTTTTGGAACACCCTGTATTATTTTTTAAATAATTTCAAAATATGTAAAAAAACAAAATAAATTATGCGTCTCCAAGCGTTTTCCCGAAAGGCTAACCGTTTTTTAAATAACAAATATTGTAATATTTGAGGGGCGTTTTCACCCTCTTGGAATTTGAGATTCGAGAAACCCCTCCTTATCGAACCTCTACACTCCACAGTCAATCCGTTTGCCAAAAATCAGCTTTAAACGTCAAGCAGTTTAAACAAAATCGTGATTACTCAATGGTCACATTGTCACGCGTTTTGGCCTTAGCTCGGCTCTTTTAAATTAAAAAAAAAAAAAAAAAAAAAAAAATTAGAAAAGAAGTAAAAAAAAATACGAAGAAGAAAAAAAAAATATTATTAAGTTAGCGATTAAGAAAAATAAATATTTATGGAATTTGCAGGGGTCTAGTCGCGAACAAATTTATGCCCTAGCTCAGAAAATTCGAGAGTAGGGGCGGGTTAAAGCGCCACTGACTTTAGACGGAAAAAAAAAGTCAGAAATCCCCAAGGTGTATTTAGGGCCTTACAAGTTCCACAAATACATAAATAAAAAAAGTAAATAAATAAACAAAAAAAGTCAAGATCTTAGAGAATTATGTAGACATAGGGCCAAAGGAAATATAAAAAAATAATGCAAACTGATTAGTTTCAGTACCCTCTATTGAAATATAAAAGGAAAATATAGGAAACAGTAAATAGAAAATACCAAATAGCAAATAGTAAATTAAATAAATCAATAAAAAAAATTGTGCACCAAGAAAAATATATCTCACAACTCACAATACGCAAGTAGCAAAATTACGTAAATACCTAGGTACCTTTCGTGATCACGTAAGATTTACAAAATAAAATATATATGTATATATCAGCGCAACTAAATTCAGCTAATATATCAAATTAATCAACAAATTAATAAATCAAATAAATAATACTAAACCAATTCACTAATAATAATAATTAATAATATAATTATTAAATAAATAAATCAAAATAATCAACTAATAATTATGAATTCATCAGTTCAAGAAATTTAGATATCGATAAAAAAAAATGAATAGATTTAAATTTTAAATAGAGACAAAATGAAACTGTGTCAGCTGTATTAAATTTACAAAAAAAAGTTAAAGGAAAAAAAATGAAATATTATTTTATCAACAGAATTAAGTATGTGAAAATTTATTCTAATTAAATTATAATGTTAAAAAAAATTATCTACGTTCAGTATTCGTACGCACCAATGAAATTCAAATCGTAAGATAGGGAAAAAAATAAAAATTGAATTGTACGATACCAAATAGTTGAAAATCTTCTAAATCAAATCAATCTTGGGCAGACACCGTCGGCTGTCAACTGTCAACCGTCGACTGTCAACTCCTCCAGAAAAGTAAAATGGATACAGCGAAAAAAACTGCTCCAACAAAAAAACTGGCTCAGAGAGAAGTCTTCAACACAGAAGAAAAACTTCTTCGGCCCAGACAAAAAAACTTCTTCGGTCCAGAAAAAAAACCCTACGGAGAAATAATATTATAGTTTCTCCATAGTACGAGATACCATAAAAAAAGATAGTTTTTTTTAAAGAAGAAAAAAAGTGGAAAGAAATGTATTAATTTAAAAAAATAGGCTTTACCTGCTAACTCAGGGTTTTCTACGAATCCTCAGGTGATTAATATTATTTCTTCCCCTGGATGGAATGGGGTGCTCAATAAAAAAAAAGGCGGGCTGCTTGGTTGACCCACGTCAGCTTTTTGAGGTGAAAATCCGTCACCGGTAAAACCGTAGCACCGTCAAAAAAAAACAAAAGGTAAGATAGGATGCTGCAGTAATTTTTGAGGCACACTCGAAAATCCCCACAAGGGTAAAAATCAAAAACTTGACAAAATGACCGAGAGGCCTCTGTACCTCACACTAGCTGAACATAAAGTGACCAAACCAA